AAAAAAAAAAAAAAAAAAAAAAAAAAGACCCCTCACCCATTCTGAAGGGAGCCCTTAGAAAGCAAGCAGTGATGGTGACCCTCCTGAAGCCCAGGGGCAGAAAATGAATAGCATTTTGATAACGACACAAAAATGGAACATTTCTATTTCCCAAAAAGATAGACACTGTCAGTGAGATTCATAAAATAAATTAATTAAAAATCTTATTAAACTTTCCCTTTCACTGCTTCTTCGTATCTCTGGTTGAGGTGGTGCAGGATGAAGGTTGCCATGGTGATGGCTGAATTTTTTTTTAAATAACAGGGCTCAGGAGCTCTGGCTGCTGGCCATACCGCCTCAGGCAGGAAAGGGTGGGGGGAAGGAGAGAAGCAAAGTGAGAAAAGGAAGAAAGCTGCTGGGCTCATCCCAGGACTCGGTAACTTCTCCAACTTGTTCTCCTTGTACCGAGGATAAGGCCCCAAAACTGCAGACTCTGGCTCCTTCAGAGAATAAGAGAATGTGGAGCCCAAATGCATGATGAGGACAGGACCTTAGAAGTCACTTTGCCCATCCCCTACCTGATTCTCTCTTGTGACAGATGGATTTCTCCTACATTTACACTCCTTCTGGTGAACAATGGGCCCACCCAGCCCATCCAAGTTTTAGATGAGCCGCTGGAAACTTGACCCTAAGAGAAATGTTCAAAGACATCCTGAGATTAAGAACCCATAGGACTTTTAAGTGAAAGAGGAATTTGAGGTTAGGAGCCCAGTACCTGTCAAAACAAACAGTCCTGGCCACAAATTCTAGTTCTGCTCTTCTCTCTAGAACCATCTAAGAATGAGATGGGAGATTCCAGAAGTGGTGGACTGTATCCCCGTGAGTGGATATACTCAAGCCTGCATAGGCCAGCAAGGGGCTGACTGATAAGCATGTTTTTAAATAGTTCCAGTCATCAGAGAGGCAGGACCCTGCTGAGGGAGGCTCAGAGAAGCAACACACCGAGGCCTTCACGCAGAACATTTTAAACTCCAGCCCAGGGAAAGGGGAAGCCAGGGACTAAGCCTGGAGAGAACCAGAAACCAGGAAGCACAGAAATCTGCTCTGACACCAGAATGCCTGCCAGGGGATTTGACAGGGGATGGTCTCGGCCCAGCTGACCCCGGAAAGGACTGGCATTCTCAGCTGGCCCCATCCCTTGTCTCCTGGCCAAAATGGCAGGCAACTAAGGCCATGCTGTGTTTGTCAGAGCATGGCTTCTAGAAGTTAAATAATAATAGTAATAATAATAATAAATACTAAGATTGTTCCTCTAAGCTGGGAAAGTGGCAGGATTACTAAAGCTGAGTGAGTCTGACATTTCCCCCAGGAGCTGGCTGAGCAGAGACCCCAGGAGGAAGGGGAAGAGCCAAGGAGTGCGGGCCCCTGGGCCTGTGACCTGCACCTCCATGACCTGCACCCCCACCCCTGTGCTGTGCCTCAGGTGTGATGATCCAGCAGCTTGGGGTCTAGGGGTCCCCATCAGCTTTCCCCAGGCAGATTGGGAGGAGCAGGGGGAATGAAAGCACCTTAAGAAAGAGATGAAAGCCAGACTCAGAGCAAGGGAGAAGTGGGCCAGCGTTCACACCCCCAGGCCACCCGCCTGTGTCTTCTGGAACAGGGTGGAGAACTCAAAGGCCCCCAGCCCTGAGGGAGGCTGAAGGAGGCCACCCAGCACTGGCCCTGGCCTATCTCTGGTGCTGCCCAGACCTACTGGCCTCTCTTTCCAAGGGCAAGGTTAGATCCCAAACCCCACTCTGCCCTCATAAACCCTCCTCACAACACACACACACACACACACACACACACACACGCACGCACACACACACACTCGCACGTGCACATACACACACGCACACGCCTAGAGCCGGAGACCAAAACAGCAACAGGCCTTAGAAATAGTACCCAGGGATCCATACACCCCAGGCTTGTCCAAGCATGAACCAGCTCCTGGAGGATGCACAGAGTCCATCAACAGAAAGGGACAAGGAGACCAGCCCGTTAGCGGCACGGTAAGACTTACTTTGCACCACATGCCTTTTTTTGTAGAATGTTTCTCACGTGCATATATGGCCTTTTCAAAAAACTGATTCTGCTCTTCTTTCTAGAACACACATACAGAATCTGTCCTTTGTCCTGGCCACCTGAAGTCAGGAAAACCAAGTCCTAGCTCCCGTCTGCCACTAATACTGAAGCAGTGTGACGTCAGCCTGGTCCTAACCATCCCGTGCCTCGGCTCCTGGGGCTGTAAAATGGGGAGACA